TAGCGCCCAAACTCTGGAATAACCTACCTAACATTGTTCGGGAGGCAGACACACTCTGTTAGTTTAAATCTAGATTAAAGACCCATCTCTTTAACCTGGTTTACACATAACACACTAATACATTTCTAATATTCAAATCCGTTAAAGGATTTTTAGGCTGCATTAATTAGGACAACCCGGAACCGTGAAAACTTCCCATAACACCTGATGTACTTGCTACATCGTTAGAAGAATGGCATCTACGCTAATATTAGTCTGTTTCTCTGGTTTGTTTACATCCATCTTTAATGAGTCCCTTGCTACCTTGGTGGTTCCCACCCCCTTTAAAAAATCTGTCATCATCCCTGTACCTAAGAACAATAACCCCTCTTGCCTGAATGACTATCGTCCAGTTGCACTCACGTCAATAGTCATGAAGGTCTTTGAGAAACTTATAAAGAGCAACATTTGCTCCTCCATCCCTGATACTTTGGACCCTCTTCTCCCCAACAGATCTACTGAAGATGCCATCTCTCAAGTCCTGCACTCTTCCCTCATGCACATTGACAGCAGCAATGGAAATTATGTAAGGCTGCTGAATGACTGTCGTCCAGTGGCGCTCACGTCAATAGTCATGAAGGTCTTTGAGAAACTTATAAAGAGCAACATTTGCTCCTCCATCCCTGATACTTTGGACCCTCTTCTCCCCAACAGATCTACTGAAGATGCCATCTCTCAAGTCCTGCACTCTTCCCTCATGCACATTGACAGCAGCAATGGAAATTATGTAAGGCTGCTATTCATCGACTATAGCTCAGCTTTCAATACTATAGTCCCCATCAAGCTAGCTTCTAAACTCATGGACCTCGGCCTGAATTCTTCACTCTGCAACTGGATTCTAGATTTCATCACTGGTAGACATCAAGTGGTGATTTGCTCCTCCATCCCTGATACTTTGGACCCTCTTCAGTTTGCCTATCGCCCCAACAGATCTACTGAAGATGCCATCTCTCACGTCCTGCACTCTTCCCTCATGCACATCGACAGCAGCAATGGGAACTATGTAAGGCTGCTATTCATCGACTATAGCTCAGCTTTCAATACTATAGTCCCCATCAAGCTAGCTTCTAAACTCATGGACCTCGGCCTGAATTCTTCACTCTGCAACTGGATTCTAGATTTCCTCACTGGTAGACCTCAAGTGGTGAAAGTAGGCCAGTTCACCTCCAACTCCATCACCCTGAACCTGGGAGCTCCACAGGGCTGTGTCCTGAGTCCTCTGCTCTACTCTCTCTACACACATGACTGCATGTCTTCCCACAGCTCCACATCTATTATCAAATTTGCTGATGATACTGTGGTTCTGGGCCTCATTTCCAACAACAATGAGGCCGCATACTTGGATGAGGTAGAGAAACTCACATCATGGTGCCAGAACAATTGTCTCTCTATGAATGTGAGTAAAACTAAAGAGCTGATTGTGGACTTCAGGAAGAGACAGCAGACCTTATACTCCTCTTATTATCAGTGGGACCCCAGTGGAGAGGGTGAGCAGCTTCAAATTCCTTGGTGTAAACATCTCGGAGGACCTGACTTGGACTTCACATATCCAAACTCAGGTTAATAAAGCTAGGCAAAGACTGTACCATCTGCGACAGCTGAGAAAATTCAGGGTTTCGCCAGCAATCCTGAAAACTTTCTATTAAGGGCCCATAGAAAGTGTATTGACTCAGTGTATCTCAGTGTGGTATGGGAACAGCTCCAGTCAAGACTGCAAAGCCCTGCAGAGAGTTGTGCGCTTAGCTGAGCGCATCTCAGGGTCTGCTCTCCCCTCGCTACAGGACATCTACCTCAAACGCTGCAAAAACAGAGCTATTAAAATCATCAAGGACTCCAACCACCCTGGTAACTGTCTTTTCATTTTGCTGACATCTGGTAAGCGCTTCCGTAGCCTAATGGCAAAAACCGAGAGACTTAAAAGGAGCTTCTTCCCCCAGGCCATCAGGCTCCTAAACTCAAACTCAGTCTCTTAACACCAACATGACTTCACTTAATTATCAGTAAGACACTTAATATACTGACATTGCCACTTGCACACAGCAATTTCTGTAATATTTTATTTATTTACTTTTTTAACTCTATTGCTGCTATCGAACTACCCTGTACAACCTGTTTGCACATTCTTCTCTTGTACATTCCTGCTCATCTTAATATTTATTAAGTCTACAGTATACTGTCCTGCACATTTTATTTTATTCTTATTTTTTTTAAATCTTTTTTTCCATACCTATATTTATATATTTTTTTCTTGTGTTTGTTTTCTTTAATAATTGCACTGTCCATGGAGCGGACCTGACTTACATTTCACTGCTGGTCATATATTCTCTATATAACCATGTATGTGACAAATAAAAATCTTGAATCTTGAATCTTATTCCGAGGTCACCGTAGCCACCAGATCCAGTCTGTATTCAGATCAGATGGTCACTGCAGTCACCCGGATCCAGTATGTATTCAGACCAGACAGTGGATCAGCACCTAGAGAGGACTTCTACAGCCCTGAAAGTCAGCAGAGACCAGGACAGCTAGATGAGCCCCAGATACAGATCCCCAGATCAGACGGCCACCGGGAACTGAGCTTTATTCTGTGATCCAAATGTATTTTCCAGCTAATAGCTCCCAGCGACAGTCATCTGCAGGCATCTGTTTACAAAAAAAATGTAGGCAGATTTTTTATTTTATTTTTCAGTGTGTTCAAAGTTCTATTACTTAATACCAATAAGACTTACATGGTTTTGGTCTCTTTTGAAAGGTGACACTCTGAGGTGTGTTCCTTAACAGAATCACTGTATGTACTCCAAATGGTTCAAGAACAGCATGCAATTTACTTTGGGTATGCCTTTTTTAGGCGTTTTAGGCAAATTTGCCAGGAATGCTAAAGGGTTAAAGAGCTGGCTGTCTGGTGCGGTCTCAACAACCTGGAGCTTAACACGCCCAAAACTGTGGAGATGATCGTGGACTTCAGGAGGAACCCCCCTGCTCTCCCCCCACTCACCATCATGGACCGCACTGTGACTGCAGTGGAGTCATTCAGGTTCCTGGGCAACACAATCTCTCAGGACCTGAAGTGGGACACTCACATTGACCCAGCAGAGGTTGTACTTCCTTCGCCAGCTGAGGAAGTTCAACCTGTCACAGGAGCTGCTGAAACAGTTCTACTCCGTCATCATTGAATCTGTCCTCTGCACTTCTATAACTGTCTGGTTCAGCTCAGCTACCAAATCTGACCTCAGAAGACTACAGAGGGTAGTCCGAACCACTGAGTGAATCATTGGTACAACCCTCCCTTCTCTCCAAGAACTGTACTTATCCAGAGTGAGCAAAAGGGCTGGCAGAATCACTCTGGACCCCTCACAGGTGTGGTGGAGAGGATCTGGGAGAGAGGGGTTACATTGGTGCCGTGACCCGGATGGGAGTGAGGTTTAGGGGGGTGAGTGTAACGGAGGCCAGCGAGTAGGTGCTGTGCAGGTAAACCTCACTCCCCTGATCTCAAGAGACGCTAGTGGCTACAGTCTTTAGCCTCCTTGTTAGTGCGTCCGCCTCCCATGTCGGAGACCCACTTGGAACAAGAGCGAGGTGTGGCGGAGAGGACCCGGGAGAGAGGGGTTACACCTGCTCAGACCCTGACTTGACGGTAGGTACTTTTCCACGTCAAAGGCCGTTTTTTATAAATATGAACATTGCCGTGGATTTTAGCGTACGCACACTCTAAGATCAAATCTGTGCGTACGCACATTTTATAAATGAGGCCCCTGGTCTTTGTTCATCATATCTTGCCCTTGGGTTTAACTGTAAATTCCCCTACAATAGGGAAAACCGTCACTTCATATTGACTATAGGCTCATTCTTTCTCTTTCCCAGCAAGAAAAGCATGCTGATAGTGACCTATATATATAACATCCTAAGACCACTTATCTGAAGCTAACCAGTTTGTCTGGGCAAAGGCTGAGCAGAGAGGTAAATTATGGACATAATCTGTTAACCAAATGATAATCACAATTTAACATACTCCATGGTGTTCCACATCTAAGCCAAGTATGGTTCTCATTGGTGTGCTGTCATTTCATTCAACTCTGTCCTGTCAGTCCTGAATTGACATGTGGCTCACTTCTAAAGAATTATTCAACACCTCCGCTGACATTTTTCCTAACTATACCTTGACCATTAGTGCATCTCTACGCACACCAATTTCCTAATGTGCATCAAGGCAAAACCAAGGCAGAGTATAACTGTCTGTGTTGAATGACCTATTACACCTTTTTTACATACCGTCTCCAAAATTCATAAAACTTACTGATACACCACCACATAGGCCTGTTGTTGCTTCCATCGGACCTCTTAAAATATCTCTTCTACATAGTACAAGAGATTCTATGGATTTTGTCACTACTATACAATACTGTTATTTTATTTTCATTGTTAATGTGATCTTTGTTTAATTGTATTATAATTATTAAACTTTGCCAAAGTGTGGCTGGAATATATACACGTTGTCTAACTTGGGTTGTAAATTAACTAGTTCTGTTTCGATCTATCTATAAATGTATTTATGCATGCATGTACTTATGATTGCCTTATAACTGAATGGTGGTGCAATACTGCCACATACTGCAACAATATAATTTTGCTAGTCTTAGGGAACCTCCTAGGAGAGAATACATTGAGGATATCCTCACATATTTTGATGGAAGCAATGTAGCAAAAATCATGTTGCATTGAGTTTCTTCATTTTAGTTTATTTACAGCACAGTGCATGACAATACAAAATAAAAATAATTTGGGAATCATTGAAATATTTTTTGAAAGAAGTCTCTTTTCACCAAAGCTGAATTTATTTGATAAAAAAAAATGATGTAAATACAGTAATGTAGAGAAGCACTATAAATGCCATACATTTTCAGCAGCCATAACTCCAGTCTTCATTGTGATGATCCTTCAGAAATCAACTCAATTACTATCAATTATTCTTTCATTCGGGAAAAACTATGATACATTTGAACACAATCACAGACTTTTGTGCCATTCCTGGAAACAGTTTCTGTTCAACTGAAGACACAAGTGAACGTCACAAGCCTGGCATTTCCAAGGTGTCTGTTCCTTCTTTCCATGCACGGCTTTGCAATGCACACAGATCCGGCGACCGACAGTAGCAATTCTTCTGACGTTTGAAGTCAGCTCAGCTCCTGGAATTGGCACATGGTTTGTGCTAAACTGTTTTGGTGCTGCTTTCTGTTTCACATCACAGAGCTCTGTAATAAGCTCTTCCATGAACTGATCGTGAGTCATGTTGCCGTGCAGCTCTTTGTGCAATATGAAAGCGTTGTTGGCGGCAATGTCCAAGAAGGGTAGGAAGATTTTTCTGTACCACTTCATGGTTTTGTGCTGCGCAGCGTAGTATTGCAACAGCTGATCGGACAGGTCAACACCCCCCATGTGTTGGTTGTATGCAGTCACAGGCGCAGGACACGGTAAAATCTTTGTCTTCCATGTATGTTGTGCTTTGATTTTCCTTTGCACGCGCTCTCCTGTATAGGCAGCATGGATGGTGGAACAAACAGACACCTCTTGCGTGTCCATCCACTTCACACACACAAGAGGCCCATCCCGAATCCACCTGATGGATCCCCTGCTGGAGTTTCTGCTCAGTGAATTAGATGCAGTCTTCGGGAAGTCCTTCCTCTGGTCTCTGTACATCCCACAAGCACCAAACTTCAGTGCAAGCAAGTCTGTAAAGAGCTTTGGAGTTGTGTAGAAATCATCCATGTACACATGATACCCAGAGCCCAAAAGTTTACGGTCCAGGAGAGACATCACAGCATCATACGAAAGCCCACGGTCTGTGGGAAAGCTATTCTTGCCCGTGTAGACAGAGAAGTCCACAGTGTATCCATTTGAGGAGTCTGAAAGGACAAAAAACTTGAAGTTCGTCAGCTTGGCTTTCACGTACGCCGTCATTCCTGTATTTGCTCTGCATGCCACCAATCTCTCCTTCACAGCTACATTTCTTCTGGGATGATAGAAGGCTTTGCACGCAAGACGAATAGTGTTCATGAGGGGTTTGATCCTGAACAGACGGTCATGTTGGGCTGTGCCCCTCTTTCTGTCGTTTTCCTTGTCTGCGTCTGGGTGACTCATGTGCACATTCCATGAAATGGTGCGGTATCTGTCGCGTGGCATAACTGTGGCGGGGAAAGGCAGAGAGAAAAGGCTGTCCTGCCGCCAGTAGTCAGCGATGGAGCTCATCTTCACCGCGGCCATGTAGAATACGAGTCCGATGTAGCGGTACAGCTCATCAACACCGACATCTGTCCATTTGTACTTGCGGCCCTTTGCAATTGCCCTGGCAGCCTGAGCATTTGTGTTGTGGCACAGGTTTGCCACGACGCTCTCTGTGAAAAACAGTTTGAAAAGACTCATGGGAGAGTGCGAGTCAGCAGCAGACAACAGCGGTCCAGGTTCCCGAGCAGGCAAGAATCTCAGAGTCTGTGCAACCCGGTCAACATCAGTCTCTGCTTTCCACGAAAGAGTCCTGGCTCTCTTTGCAGCAGGCATCTGGTCACGCTCATTCTCACATCTGCAACAAAATAAAATAAAATAAAATAAATAGTGAGCATGGTAACAACATGTATACTTTACATTATGCAAGCATTTAGTCAAATATATCTGACAGTATGCAAGCAAAATTAAACTCTAAGATGTAAAATGGCGGGTAAATGCACACTTACTCATTAAGTTTCTCAACCGAGTTGAAAACTGAACGCTTGCATGCTGCCCTTGTATGATGTGCACATGAAGGCGCCACATTCCTAAAACAAATAAACAACAAAATAAGATAAATGAAAACATTTGTTATCTTATATTGTCAAAGGTACCAGTGCATGCATAAGAGATGGGCAATTATAGGCCTATGGACTGATGGGCAGGGCCGCATTAACCACTGGGCAAGGAGGGGGGCCTCACTTTTTAGTGCTATTATTTAGTGGAGTTTTTCCGTAAATTCCATGCATTACCATTAGAGATTAAAATATCACATTTGAATTTGGTTTACCAATCAAATGCATTCATTATATACTTTTGAACAAATTGTGCACGTAGCCTATCTATCAGGTGATCGCTGCGCCTAATGTCTGCATTCACCTCTCTTCACTTCATTCTGGTGTAATCTAGAAATGGTCATGCAAAGAACAATCCTCGATAAGTAAAAATGTCAACTATTCTAAAAAAAATAAATAAATAAAATAGAGAGAGAAAAAAATGAGGAGAGGGGGGAAAACATGAGTGAGTCACTAAAATCCACAGATAGTTTAATGAACCGGACACATGGAGCAGATAAAAACACAGCGTCATCAATAGGGCATTTCGCACCGCAGGAACCTTTTCATAGTACCAGAAGTAATTGTGGAACTACCCACTTTTTTGGCATTTTCGCACCGCCGGAACTGGGAGCGATTTTAGTACCGGACTGCCTTTTTCGAGAACCAAATTAGCTCCTACTCCGGAGCAGGGTCTATTCTTTGTTTCTGTTGTTGAACGCCGCGCACAAATGACGTCGCTGTCGACCGGCTTACGTCACTTCTTAGTACACACTCTCGGTGCAAATGCAACCTTTTAAATGGTACTGGGAAATAGTTCGCATAAAATCGTCCCAATACTTGGAGTACTGTACATTTAGTTCTGGAACTAAAGTGGTGCGAAAGGCCCTACTATTTTTTTCACAACAATGGACATGGAAAGTCGACGTATACGTAAAGCGATTGAAAGAACGGAAAGGAGGACTAAGAATCTCCAACGACAACTGGCCGTGCTACATTTGCTACAAGTGCCTGCACTTCGGCGTCCGTCCATCTATCGCTGTTCTCCATACTTGCGAAATAAGTTGACAATGTTTACAGTATGTTTACACAGCGTTTTAAATCAGGGCGGGTGAGGGCGTTTTCATACGCGTTTGGCCAATCAATGTCTACTTACGTCACGATTAGTACCAGTATGAGCTAATTTGGTTCTCGTAAAAGGCAGTCCGGTACTAAAAAATAATAAATAAAAAATTCACACCCAGTTCCGGCGGTGCGAAAACGCCAGAAAGTGGGTAGTTCCACAATTAGTTCTGGTACTATGAAAAGGTTCCCGCAGTGCGAAAGGCTCTATCCACACAGATTTTAGGTTAGTTTGATTATTAACTTGATAAATGTTGCTTTTTGGGTTTGAACAAACTCTATAGGGCTAGTATACCCAGCTAACAATTTTTGGTTCCTAGAACGTTCTGTTCTTTTAAATATAAATCTACAAATAACCTACAGGGAACGTTCTGGGAAGGTTCCGTTTAGGTTATAAAATTAAACCTAAAAATAACCTGCAAGGAACGTTCCTAGAATGTTCTTATTTTGTTCCCAAAAAAAACAAAAACAAATGGGAATGTTAGGTGTTTGTTGGGTATTTGCTTATGGGTTGAGAAATAAATTTTGCGCGTCATGATGCAAGCTTTTTATTTAAATGCATTTTAAGCATTTTGGTTTAAAAACGAATTTAACTGTTCAGGGACATTAAGCAGTGGGGCAGAATACATTTTGGCAAATGCGCGCATTAAGACGCTTTCTGATACACGAGGAACACACTTGCTCGTACAGCGCCTGACTAAACTAAGAGTTATTCTTCGCGCCTTGTGTTTAAATGTTCGAATACACATAGTTATGTGTCAAAATGCCTGTCTCCTTGTCAACACAGTTATCTGTGTCTTAAATGAACGTTAATAGCCAGCTAGTGCACATGCTTTATCTTTAACTATTATGAGATCCTGGCATTATATGATGAGATTTTAAAGGGATATAGTTCACCCAAAAACTTCATCATTTACTCAGTTTCAAGTTGTTCTGAACCTGTATGAATTTCTTTGTTCTCCTCAACATAAAACAAGATATTTTGAAGAATATTTGTAACCACTAGAAAATGTCTTGTCCCTGTTGACCCCAATAGTGTTTTTTCCCCCATACTATGGAAGTCATGGGGGCACAGAAATGGTTACCAGTAGGCTATTGTTCCAATTATATACATTTGCATTCATCAGCACAAGGAAACTCATTCAGGTTTAGAACAACAACATAACTTTCATTGTTGGGTGAACAATTCCTCCAAAGCAGCCTAATATAGCTGCTGTTGCTATTTGTGTCAATAATGTAAATTAAACATTAGAAAGAAAATCACTCACGGTCCTTGACCGAATCACTTTTGTAAAATAATGTATATTGAATTTATGCAGTGAAGACTATTCAGTCTATGTATTTCATACAATATAATATTTCTTATTCAGTGCTTTAAATGTTTGTAGCTCAATTTCTTTGTTCTATTGCAATCCATGACTGTTTACTTGTCTTCAATAAGTTTGTTTTTATTTAGGCTAGTATTTTTTACTTTGTGATATTGGAATGGTAACAAGAATATACACTCAAAAAAATGCTGGGTTGTTTTTTCAAGCCAAATGCTGCGTTGAGACGAGACCGTGAAAGAAAGCACGCACGTCACGTCGGACGCATCTCGACGACACCGGTGCGAGAAGTCGCCATTGTCTCTGCGTCTTCAGATGGAAGCGAGTGCGAGTGAAAGACGGTTTATGGCAAGTAAAGATTAAAAATGTAAAGTCATCATTCATTGTTTGAGTCCAGTAGTATCTTGAGATTATGGAAGGCGGAAATATTCTGAAAAGAGCTTATATTGAAAAATACGTGGACTTCGCCTCAGAAATAATCTTAACTCTTTTACTGAACGGAAGAGGTGCTTTTAATATAACATCAGTGAGTGTCATGTCATATATACATAATGTTTTTTTACATTTTTTGAAGTGTTGAGAGGGTTATTAACATATTTACACGTTAATTCGTTATATATTTTTTTCACGGTTAAATTGAATGTAGTTTCCTAAAGGAAATGGCGTTATGTAATAAAGACTAGCCTAATTATTTTGAGGCTGATGAAGTGATAATTGTTAAAAGTAATGTTTTGCATGTAATATCTCAGACATGTTGAGCTTTGTGTCTTCACTGCGCCGGGAGTTACCGACACAGAAGCCTGCTTGTGTGAGGAGCAGGCGGTGTTCCCAGCTTCTTCAGAAGAGCGGGGAAGACGCTTAAGGCAAGTAAAGTTCATAATGCCATCACGCCATCAATTTAATTTTTTTTTTTTACTAAGAGTAAGCGAATGTTTGTTGTTTTTGTAGATGTTGAAAGCTGGAGAACATCATTCTTTTGAGATTGATTTGAGTTATTTTTAGAAAATAAATGTTTGTGTTGTCTCCTGCCTGTTCACCTCACATTCTGATGCAACAACAGTGTGATTACGTGCTCATATTTTATGTTACACCACTGAGTCTGTGTTTTTCATTGCAGAACTCAAACCAACTTTGGAGTCGTCTGATTTGGAGAGTCGTCATTCTTGGTCTTCTTGTACAACTATTGTATAGTAGTGTTTTTGTATAATATTTTTATATACAATTTACCAAAAAAGTCAAATTTGATCTTAAAAGTTATATGCAACAAATGTTCAATGCTTCATTTATAAACTCTGTAGCGGTCAATGCCATACTTTTATGCATTTCTTCTCACATGCATGTTACTTTTGACCGTTTTCTCGTTTTAAATAAATATTTACTTTTTGATAGTCATTCTGTGTGTGTAAAAGTGATTTTAAATGAACAAGATTTGTAGGTTTAATGTCTAGCTCGATTTGGGTTCATTTTAGCCTAGCGGTGTAGTAATTTTAAACCATAAAAAAGCAACCCAGCATGCTGGGTCAGACATAACCCAACTTGGGTTAAAACAACCCAGCGCTGGGTTCGTCCCTTTTTGACCCAACGCTGGGTTGCCAAAATAACCCAAATTGGGTTGTTTTTAACCCAGCCGTTTTTAGGGTGTGTGTGTATGTATGTATGTATGTATGTGTATATATATATATATATCATTATTGTGATGGGGGGGGGGGGCCCTGCAGCAAGTCATAGCCCCGGGGCCCAGTGAGGCCTTCATGCGGCCCTGCTGATGGGACATCGACATAATTATGTATACCAACTTATGTTCGCAAATATCTGATTAGGTGCAAATGTTTTAAGTTGAACTTCGTTAATGACGCTGTATATGACATTAAACAACGACCATAAAAAAACAAAACTATAGTCACTGGTATAGTCTTGTACAGTACAGAACACTTACACTGCTACATGTTTAGTAAGACAGTGAAACGCTATGATAACTCCACAGAACAGCACATTTTATTCCTAACATTACAGACGCGTTTCAGTCGGACAACAGACCTGCAACAGCTGTACGAGCATGCGCGACTGTGTATAATAACTACTGTAAGGAAGAATAAACGACTTACGCATTATAAATAGTATCCTTTGCTAGATCAACTCGCCCCTTCAAATGAAAGCTTTCGTCCTCCGAGTCGTCGTCGTCTTCAGAAGAGAAGGTGAACTCTTCCTCGCTGTCTGCGCTCGTCTGGAGAGCCTCCTCGGGTGTGTGCGCCATCCTGATGAACGGCACACCGCTAACAGCTCACCGCGGGGCGTGTAGTGTGCTCCTGCGGCTCTCACCAGACCACTAACACCTGCATCCAGCGCTTCTCGGTGGGTACCGCCACTCTCCCTCTCTCCTGCACAAAATGGCCTCCCGCTCTTTCTCGTGTGAAATGGCTGGAGTCTCTTTCTCTCTGATTGGGTGCATTTAGCGACGCTGTCCTGCGGGTGTTTGATTGGGGGAAGGCGGGCTGGGCAGACACCCGCTCCGTGGTCTCCACCCCCGAATAACCTCCTCCTCCTTTTGACGTGTTACGGCGGTTAGCAAACCAGCTTTAGGTGCATTTACCGCCACCTACTAGGATAGAGTGTGGAGCACTGAAAACTTCCTATATTAAAAAAAAAAATAATAATTAGTAGTGATTCTTTAAATCCTGTTCATTAAGTCTGAATCTTTGAGATGCTTAAAGACTATGTGAAACATTTCTATAGTCACATCTTTATTTAATTTCTGAAGTGAGATCTGATTTATTTCTATATGAAGTGCTTCCTTTACATTGTATTAAAATATGCGCAACTGTTTCAGGAAGATCACATTTAACACAAAGTCCAGACTCATGTTTATAAACTATTATAAATAATGATCGTCCAATTCTAAGGCGAGAGATTATGCGGTCTCCGCCGAATAACCTTCCGTTCAAGCGCCCTTTCATCGGCTCTACTTTCCCGCGCTTACATTCTGGATCAACAGGTCAGTTTCCTAAACCGGTCACTATTGTGCGAACATGACCCATTTCTTAATATACGCGCTAAATAAAATGTTTACAATAAAAATAGTTTTACAAGCAACCATAATTCGGCTTTTTCCATAAAACACATCTTACTATATTCTGTGAAACAGAAACATTAGTGTAATAAATGCACCCAAAACGATAAATATAATAACAAAAAACACTCTTTAATGAAACTGTGGTTGGCTCTTAAAAGCGCCCGTGTGTGTTTCTGGTGGCACGCACGCGGTTATCCTCCGAAGCCGTACAGAGTGCGTCCCTGGCGCTTCAGCGCGTACACCACGTCCATGGCGGTGACCGTCTTTCTCTTGGCGTGCTCGGTGTAAGTCACGGCGTCGCGGGTCACGTTCTCCAGGAACACCTTCAGCACACCGCGGGTCTCCTCGTAGATCAGGCCGGAGATGCGCCAGACGGCGGATGGCGGGTTTGGTGATGCCCTGGATGTTATCCCGCAGCACTTTACGGTGCCGCTTAGCGCCTCCTTTCCCGCCTTTGCCTCTTCCAGACATTGTTATTTCGAGTCACTCGCCTTCTGTCGCACAACAGAACGTATAAACACCGAGAGCCTGCAAGAGGAGATATACATTCGCTTAGCGGACCTAGTTGAAACATACAAAGGCGGAGCCAATGACGTGCTCAGCAGCCCTCTTAGCTTTCTGGAGTAGCTTGTGCTGATGGCCTGGCGTTTGGAAATTACCCCATAAACCAGGTAATCACAAGTAACATGCATTTCTTTCAAACTCATTAATAAATATTACCCCAGCAACCATTTCCCTGTGAACAGATTTGTAATATTGATGTTGATAACTGAACCCCCCGCTTCTGATTTGTTCTTCTCTAATGAATATTTAATTTGTTACCTCTGTTGGCAAAATTATTTTTATATAAACGTAAGTACGCTGATTATAAACCACTATTTCTAAATCTGCTTTCCTAGTGAAGACGGGTCACCTTTTTTCTGGCTAGCGGTCTCCGAGCATTGACTAATATAAGCGAGTGCAAAGTAGTGTTTATATGCGAGACTGAATCATTTAAAGTCAGAACTAAATGTGCGGTTACAAAATACCTCTACACGTGTGACTGCATAAATGGAGACGCTGTCAATGAAGTTAAAGGATAAAACACTACTTTCTATCGACGTGCACAGAATTTGCTCATTAATTAGTTCGTTTCGAGCAGGTGGTGAGAGTTTGAGTGGGCCCAAAGGAGCACATGTTTTACAGGAATAAAGCAAACTCTTTGTTAGACAAATTGAGGCGGCTCTGAGAAGAGCCTTTGGGGGTTAAAGATACTCGGGGTTAAGCGCGCTCTCCGCGGATGCGGCGGGCCAGCTGGATGTCTTTGGGCATGATGGTGACCCTCTTGGCGTGGATGGCGCACAGGTTGGTGTCCTCAAACAGACCGACCAAATAAGCCTCGCTGGCCTCCTGCAGCGCCATGACAGCGGAGCTCTGGAAGCGCAGGTCCGTCTTGAAGTCCTGAGCGATCTCTCGCACCAGACGCTGGAAGGGCAACTTGCGGATCAGCAGCTCGGTGGACTTCTGATAGCGACGGATCTCCCGCAGAGCCACGGTGCCGGGCCTGTAGCGATGGGGCTTCTTGACGCCGCCGGTGGCTGGGGCGCTCTTCCGGGCGGCTTTGGTAGCGAGCTGCTTCCTCGGGGCTTTGCCGCCGGTGGATTTACGAGCCGTCTGCTTGGTTCTTGCCATGTTCTCGAACTCTCTGTCTTAATCTCTTATCCAGAATGACTTTGTTTCGTCTGC